GATGGCGTTTCGCACTCACGAGGGGCATTATGAGTTTTCTGTGGAGACTTGGAAGACGCAGCCTTTCTTCAATTGAAGACAACCATGATGGAACTGCCAGTGTTAGTCATGCCGGATTTTACCAAGCTGTTTGTTGTGGAGACGGATGCCTCAGGAAGCGGGATTGGTGCCGTCCTAATGCAAGAGGGACGACCGGTTGCCTATTTTAGTAAGGTTCTCTAGGCCACTTCCCGGTTGACATCGATGTATGAGCGCGAACTTCTGGCTATTGTGTTAGCTGTGCAGAATGGCGACACTACCTTTTGGGGCAACACTTTGTCGTGCGCTCGGACTAGCAGAGTTTGCGATTTCTCCTTGACCAGCGGGTTCTTCCACCAGAACAGTTACGCCTGGTAGCAAAATTGCTTGGGTATGATTTCGAAGTACAGTATAAATGGGGTGCTACAAACAAGGCAGTAGATGCTTTGTCTCGGCGGGGAACTGAAGCTGATGCCATCCTTACGGCAATATCTATTCCTCATCAGTTTGACATCGAGGGGCTGAAGAAGGACCAACTAGCGGATCCGGATTGTGCCATGCTCATTACTGCCGTGCAACTGGGTTAGCCACTTTGGGAGGGATATGGGATTCGCCAGGGATTGCTTTATTTTCGGGACCACGTGGTTCTGCCCCCAACTTCGGCTTGGATCACCCGTGTTCTGCATGATTTCCATGACTCGGTGGTAGGGGGCACTCGGGTTTTTTGCGGACATATAAACGAATATCAACGGTTTTCTTTTGGAAGGGAATGAAGAAAGATATAAAGGAATATGTGGACAAGTGCACGACGTGTCAACACTCGAAAACGGAAGCATTGTCGCCCTCGGGGTTATTGCAACCGCTACCTATCCCGGCGTGGATTTGGGAGGATGTTTCTATGGATTTTATCGGCGGCCTTCCAAAGTCACGAGGGATGGACACTATTTTGGTCGTAGTCGGTCACCTATCCAAATACGCGCATTTTTGTCCCTTGGCCCACCCTTACACGGCAACACAGGTGGTTGCCTTGTTTGTTCGGGAGATTGTCCGTTTGCATGGGTTTCCCTGCTCCATCGTCAACGACCGCAATTCTATTTTCATGAGTCGTTTCTAGCGTGAGTTGTTCAAGCTCCAAGGCACTCGGATGTAGCTTAGCATTGCTTATCATCCCCAAACAGACGGCCAAACCGAAGTTACGAACCGTTGTTTGGAAACGTATCTTTGATGTTTCGCCTGCGACGAACTGCGGCAGTGGCTCTCCTTTTTACCTTGGGCGGAGTATTGATTCAATACTACTTATAATGCTTCCATTAAATGCTGTCCTTTTCAAGTAGTGTATGGTCGAGATCCTCCCACCCTATACCGCTTCCCAGAAGGCTCGACAGCCGTCAATGAGGTCGAAGTGCAGCTCGGCAACGCAATCACATGATGGACATCCTCAAGGATCACCTTCTTTTGGCTCAACAACACATGAAGCGGTTTGCCGACCGTCATCGCTGAGAAGTCGAATTCGCCCTGGGAGATTTGGTTTTATTGAAGCTGCGCCCCTATTTCATGAAGTCCTTGGCACAGAAGGTCAATGAAAAGCTTAGTCCTCGTTTTTATGGGCCTTTCACCATTCTGGCTAAGGTAGGGCCGGTCGCTTATCACCTCAACTTGCCCGACAGCTCCAAAATCCACCCGGTCGTCCATGTGTCACAGCTCAAAGCCTTTAAGGGATAACACTCACCGGTCTGCCCCTACCTGAGCAGTTGACTGATGAGTTAGAGCTCTTGGTTCAACCGGCCACCATCTTGGACTCTTGATCCGTCGCCGTCGGGGGACACCAAGTGCACGAGGTTTTGGTGCAATGGAAGGGGTTACCACCTGCGGATGCTACTTGGGAGCCGCTGGTGACCCTTGCTGAACAATTTCCGGACTTTGACCTTGGGGACAAGGTCAAGCTTGAGAAGGGGGGTAATGTTAGACCTCCAGCCCTCAGGTTTGTTTACGCTAGAAGAAAGAAGAAGGATGAGCAAGGGCAGGTTGGGAATTTGGTTACCACAGGGCCAGGGCAAGTGGTGAGGGGTGTTTGTTAGGATACGGTTATGGGGTATTGTGTAAGGAATGGGTATTGGGAAAAGGGTTAGTTACGGGGAATTAGAATAAATAGCCTAAGGCTGCATAGAGGAGGGCATCGAGAATTTAGAAAGGAATTGAGTTTGTGGAGGTCTGGAGGAGTCCTCAAACTCTCCTCCATCCCTCTTTCCGGTTTTTGTTGTTTTTTCAGCATTGTGCTTCCTTGTTGATTCAATAAAAGGAACCATACCACTTTTCTGGTTATTACTCCCTTATTCTCGTTATTTCTGTAGTTCTACTACCCTCATCTATCTCAAACTAGAGGAATCCTAACAAAACGAGCCTTACCAACTGCTCGCTTGGCTTCTTTCTTCGCTTCTTTGTACTTATTAAAAGTTTCAACATCCTTACGCTTTGGTAAATCTCTATATGAATCCCTCTTGGTTTTAATAGCCTTTTGAACTTCTTCACTCCACCACCAGGTTTCTTTCCCAAGGGGGTTTTTTTACCTCTATTCCCTAGGAGGCCTTTACCTCTAGATTCCTATAGTACCTCATTTGCCACTTTTCTAATGCAGCTGGCCATGGCATCTCACGTAGTATTTGCATCACCTATATATGACCAAATAGCCTCCTCTAACAACTTCTCTTTAAAGGCCAATTGCTTTCCACCAACGAGTTCGTGGGAGATGGTTTATCTTAGTCCTTCTATAGCAAAGCTTAATGCTCACATCTAAGATCACTAACCTATGTTGGGTTGCTAGTACTTCTCTAGGAATTACTTTACAATCCTTACATAAAGAACGTTCTCTATACCTTGTGAGAAAATAATCTATCTGGCTCAAGTTCCTCCCATTCTTAAAAGTGATTAAGTGAGAATCTCTTTTCTTGAAAAATGTGTTTGTTATGATAAAATCATGTCCCAATGCAAATTTCAAAATAGATTTTCCTTCTTCGTTTCGAGCTCCAAAACCAAAACCACCGTGGATCCTTTCGAAGTTTTCCCTATCCTTACCAACATGTCCATTGAAATCTCCTCCAATGAAAATGCTATCCTCATTGCCTATACGACACACTAAGTCATCCATGTCTTCCAAGAACTTGACTTTAGTTTCCTCATCCAATCCTATTTGTGGAGCGTAAGCACTAATTACATAGATGAACTTATTTCCTAGTACCAATTTGAGCATCATAATTCTATCCCCTATTCGCTTAATCTCAACTACGTCATCCTTCACAGTTTTGTCCACTAGAATACCAACTCCATTGTGATTTCTTTCCCAACTTGTAGACCATAACTTGTATCCTAAATTTCCAATTTCTTTTGCTTTCTCTCATGTCTACTTCGTTTCCTGTAAGCAAATGTTAATTCTTCTTCTTACCATAACATCTACTAACTCCATAGATCTACCAGTTAAAGAACCTACATTCCAACTACCTAAACGAATTTTTCTATCATGGGCTAGCTCTGCCCCTTGCACACGTCCATGAATGTGCAAGGACCCCCCCTTGCATATTTTTCACCATATCCGGGGCCTGACATGGCGCATGGGCTCACTTTTTCCCCCGCACACGTCCATGAATGTGCGAAGACTCGCCTTGCCTATTTAACACTATACCCGGGGCCCGGCATAGCGCGTCGCACGTAGGGAACACCCCAACAGATTTTATGTAAGTGAAATCCATGAGAGTGACTTATTTTTTCGTTGGCCGTCAACCTAGCGCAACCCTCCTCCTTTATCCGGGCTTGGGACCGGCTATACAAACGCATAGGCGGAGTTAGAAATCAAAAGAATATATTTTAAATATAAAAATGCATATAATTTTTTAAAAGGTCTCTTTATATAATTTCGCTTAGCGCCTCGAGTCACCTTGAGCCAGCCTTGCAATTGGATACTATGCTAATCTTCTTGTCCAGCTGTTTTAAATGTTTTTGGCCATTGATTTATTTATTTATTTTTTTGCTGAAAGCCATTGAAATTTTCTTGTCATGACGTTATTACATACTTGGACTATTATATGCCCTAGAAAATGTTGCTATTGCTGTTCCAGCAATTGAATGACAAAACTTCTAAATCTGACCTAAAGGAATCATAAGGAATTTTTTTTAGTTTAGACTCTAGAGCTACTATGTGGAGTATAAGATATTTCTAATAGCCTATGATGTGGGAAGGTAGTGTAATTGTTCACTGCAGACCGCACGATTCTCTTTTTACTACACCCTTCAAGACCTCAATGTGTTTTCTCTCAAACATAACTCAGCAGTTCCCAGATGTCATCAAACATGCAAGTGAATAAGTAAATTGTATAGGACTTAATGTATCTCTCCTCTTAGAATTGACCAAGATGTGAAAGATGATAGTGGCTGCGTGAAGTGTTTTCAGGGTAATCTGGAGCTTAGAGAGAAAAAATCTACTAGGTCTATTGATGAGACTATCGGAGGCACAAACTTTCTGCTTTTATTTACTTGCCATACTGGGACCAACATGGATCTCTATGCTTCCAGTTTTCGATTCTTCTAGTTTGAAGTTGACAAGCCTTAGGCAAGTGTTCATTAGGAAGAATAAGAGGGTTGGGTGAGGTGGCTATATTTTGTTATTGTGAAGAGGGGGTTCTGGTTGTTAGGAGGGGAAGTTGTTAGTTACTAAGGACTTTAGGAGGTTGTTAGGAGGAATTGGGGGAAAATAAAAGGAAGAAGGTAGCTGAGAGGTAGTTAGGATGTAACTAGAATTTGTGTGGGGGAAGTCTTGGAGAGTCTCTCCAAGTAGGGGAGAGTGACCAGTCTCTCGAATTACCAGAAATCACTTGTACTCTTTCTTGAGTTTTCAGTTCAATAAAGCTCTCAGTTCAATCTTTTGTTTCTGTTTTGTAAGAAAGGGCCAGAGTCTATCAGAAGTATAAATCTAACAACTTAGTCTTGTGCAGGACTTGACATTCCTCTTCTTGACATCAAGCAGAGATCCTGGTATTGTTCCTCGAAATACAAAGCCTCTTGAACCAGATGAAGCTGATGTACCTACACCTTCAATGGAATGGGTTAATGGCAGAACACCTCATTTGAAACTCCCCCGGACAAAAGATGTCCTTGTTAATGGTCATCCAATAAAAGTAAAGTACTGTGACACTTGTTTACTATATCGCCCTCCCAGGGCATCACATTGTTCCATCTGCAACAACTGCGTTCAGAGATTTGATCATCACTGTCCTTGGGTTGGTCAATGCATCGGAATAGTAAGTTTGTGTACTTATTTATCCACTTTAAATTACACAAGAAGCCAGAATTTAAGATTAGATGTCATTCCAGTTTTTTCTTTCTGATAGTAAGTCTATCAAAAGACAGGAGAAGGCCTGTCTTTCTTCACAAAACCATATGTAGTAATTGTCTTTTGGGCACAAATGAATATATTAAAGAATCAAGACTAAGATTATTATGAAATTGATTTTAGATACTCAAGTGTAATTATTTAGAAGGATTGGCTATCAGTCATCCACTATGTTCTCTTAAATAGAAAATTTGTATTATTGTTGAGTAGTTTAACCTTTACAAATGTTGCCAGTCTGTTTCTTCGACACATATGGCCGTATTTTTGGAATCAATACCATGTTCACAGCGAGATAGTCTAAAGTTTGCTTTATAAATAGTTTATGTGCTAAGATTTGACTTCCTATTTTATTTTTGACCTGCAAGATATCTTGAGTGGTGTAAAATTAGGGTCCCTATTAGGAGGATGTGCTTCTTCCTTTCATAGTTCAGAAGCATGATAGATTTACAGATTCTGATCATCCCCTTGTTGATTGTGAGATTACAAAAATCTGCATATGAAAGTGTTGATTCAATGGGAAATCTCTTTTGTGGAGCAACAGTCTTGGAGCAATCGAGTCATTAACCCTTAACTCTTAAGTGAGCCATCTAAGTAGTGACTTGACATGGAGATAACATGGAGACTTCCTTTTAGAAAGTTTCTACTTTGTATGCACCTATTATTAGATTTAGCTTATTGTGAAGTTGCCAAAATTTTGAAAACTATAACAATGTTCGGAATTCGAACACCAAGGCAACTTGTTCAAGAAACAAAATTTCTCCTTTGCTGAATTTTTTTGCTGGTCAGTTTGAGATCAGCAAACTGAACTACTCTATTGACCAACAAATGCAAAGTTGTTGCACTGCACACATCTGCAAGGAAGTCATCCAGTAGTTGCAGCAAACAGGGTGCATCACCTCTGTGCTAGCTAGCGTAACACAATTGTTATATACCTCTTAATTTCAAGGCACATCCTTTTCTTTAATAAGAACCCAAAATATGTTGCAATTTTGCAAAAGAAATATTAGGTTATGTTTTATTTTACAATGTATGACTTTTAGCAATCCCACAACAAAGTTAACCTAATAAAAATTCACAGAATCTCAGGATTAACCCATCTTTGATCAGTTTAGAGTGCGCTAACTTATGTAGTTCTTGTTTTTGTGTTATTTCTGCTTTGGTCTGGAGGGCCTCTAGTCCTCTTTCTCTATTATTTTCTTGTACTTATTGGTAAAATCTCTTGCGTCTTATGAATTCAAAAAAGTTATTTCCACTACATAATATTAAGAATAAGACACCCTAATTCTTTACTACTGAGAGCAATAAAATCACATAAGAAAAACAAACAAGAATACACACAATATTCATAGTGGTTCACCCTCTAGGTTCGATCCACGTGTGTCTGAGAAATAATTATGCTCCACGTTAAATAGCAAATGATGGTTCATTTGTGCTCCGTTTGTTTCGAGGGTTCTGGCCTGGTTCTGGATCATGGTTCTTGGTTCGCTACAGTGTTTTTCTCTCACAAAAAAATTAAATTTGAAAAATCAAAATTATGAACCATGGTTCTGAACTCATGAACCAAATGTCACCTTGGTGTTTGTTTTCAATTTATTACCAAAAAGAATTGTGCTCTGACATATTGATTATGCTGCAGCGGAATTATCGGTTCTTCTTCACATTCATATCAACATCAACCATCCTGTGCATATATGTCTTTGTGTTTTCTTGGATCCACATTGCAAAGGGACAAAAGAACGTTTGGGAATCTATCAAAACGGAATACCTTTCTGATTTTCTTATAGTCTACTGTTTCATAGCTGTATGGTTTGTTGGAGGTCTCACAGTCTTCCATCTCTACCTGATATGTACAAACCAGGTGACCTTCCTTCGTAATCATAATGTGCATAAGCAATTTAATTTTTCGCATTGAAGCTTGGTTTGTTCCTTGATCTTATTATTACTATTAATTTTTTTCTTTTGTATAATTAACCAAACACTGGTATGCTGTTGTGTATGATAATGTATAATTACAACGTACACAGTCTGGGTTTAAGACCGAATTTCAGCCTCAAAGGGAGGTAGAGGGAGTAGAGGCCATTTGGTAAAGCCTACTTGCTTTGTGGGCAACGTTTGATAAGAAAGAAAGAGGATATACATGTATGTCCATTTTTTTTGACATGTTTAGGAGTCTGATCGGTTCTTTTGTATGCATGTGAAGCCTTTTGCCTTCCTGAATCCTTCCCTTATAGTTAGATATGATTTTGTTGAAAACTAGGGATTGGAAAATATCTTTGTATTTCCGTGTATTGAATAATTACATTGCTAGGTATTTATAGAATTTACATAGAGAGAAAATAGGAAAGAATATCTACCACAATCCCTGAAAATCAGGGATTGTTAAAACTAATTTTTCCTAATTAGTTTCCTGCCTAAAATACCTCTCGACACTCCCCCTCAAGCTGAGGAATGAATATCTTCCATTCCCAGCTCGGTTACAATCTCATGAAAATTAGATCCACTTAATCCTTTTGTTAAAACATCAGCCAGTTGACTTCCCGAAGGAACATAAGACATACATATGAGTCCTTCTTCCAACTTCTCTTTGATGAAATGCCTATCAATCTCAATATGTTTTGTCCTATCATGTTGAATAGTATTGTGAGCGATGTTGATTGCTGACTTGTTGTCGCAGTAAAGCTTCATAGGTTCCTCCCACTTGACTCTCAAATCATCTAGAATAATTTTCAGCCAAAGTAGTTCACACATCCCTTGAGCAACAGCCCGAAATTCAGCCTCTGCAGATGATCTAGCCACAACATTCTGTTTTTTGCCCCTCCATGTGATCAGATTTCCTCCAAGAAATGTACAATAGCCAGTTGTTGATCTTCTATCCACTATAGAACCTGCATAATCTACATCTGTATATGCTTCTAACGTCAAAGCAGAGTTCTTTTTGAACAAAATTCCTTTTCCGGGACTGCCCTTCAAGTAGTGCAATATTATGTGCAGCTTGAAGGTGAGGCTCTCTCAGATCATGCATAAATTGGCTGATCACACTCACTGAGTAGGCTATATCCGGCCGAGTGTGTGTAAGATATATGAGTCTCCCAACTAGCCTTTGATACATTCCCTTGTCCACTGGTGGTTTTTCTCTTGCTTCACTTAATTTCTAGTTTGATTCCATACGAGTGGCAGTCGGTTTGCACTCAGCCTTTCCAGTTTCTATCAAAAGATCAGTCACATACTTCCGTTGGGATACAAAGATGCCTTGTCTAGAGTATGCCATCTCAATCCCTAGGAAATACTTCAATTTCCCAAGTTTCTTTATCTCGAATTCCTGAATCAATAGTTCCCTCGTTAATTCATCTTTGATTCTTTTGATTCTTGAATTTACTCTTTCGTGAACTTGTTCCCAAACACCAAGGCCTTATCATTCACACATCCCTTGAGCAACAGCCCGAAATTCAGCCTCTGCAGATGATCTAGCCACAACATTATGTTTTTTGCTCCTCCATGTGATCAGATTTCCTCTAAGAAATGTACAATAGCCAGTTGTTGATCTTCTATCCACTATAGAACCTGCATAATCTGCATCTGTATATGCTTCTAACGTCAAAGCAGAGTTCTTTTTGAACAAAATTCCTTTTCTGAGACTGCCCTTCAAGTAGTGCAATATTCTATGTGCAGCTTGAAGGTGAGGCTCTCTCGGATCATGCATAAATTGGCTGATCACACTCACTGAGTAGGCTATATCCGGCCGAGTGTGTGTAAGATATATGAGTCTCCCAACTAGCCTTTGATACATTCCCTTGTCCACTGGTGGTTTTTCTCTTGCTTCACTTAATTTCTAGTTTGATTCCATACGAGTGGCAGTCGGTTTGCACTCAGCCTTTCCAGTTTCTATCAAAAGATCAGTCACATACTTCCGTTGGGATACAAAGATGCCTTGTCTAGAGTATGCCATCTCAATCCCTAGGAAATACTTCAATTTCCCAAGTTCCTTTATCTCGAATTCCTGACTCAATCTTCTCTTCAAGTCACCTTTATCCTTCTCATCATTCCCAATCACGATAATATCATCAACATACACAAGTAAGGCAATCACTCCCCCTAAGGCCGAATGCTTGAAGAACAACGTGTGATCACCTTGACTTTGCCTATAACCCGAATCTGTCATTACCTTAGCAAATCTGCCAAACCATGCTCTAGGGGATTGTTTCAGCCCATATAGAGCCTTTTTAAGCTTGCAAACTTTGTCACTGGTTTTATTCCCCTCAAACCCTGGAGGAATGCTCATATATATCTCCTCATCCAAGTCTCCATGGAGAAAGGCATTTTTCACATCATATTGTAGCAATGGCCAGTCAAAGTGGGCTGCTAATGACACTAAAGTCCTCACGGTATTCATTTTTGCCACCGGAGCGAATGTCTCCTGATAATCTACCCCATAAGTCTGAGTGTACCCTTTCGCAACTAACCTTGCTTTATATCTCTCAAGAGTTCCATCAGCCTTATACTTCAATGCAAATACCCACTTGCAATCAACTATGTTCTTTCCTTGTGGTCTCTCAACTATCTCCCATGTTTGATTCTTTTCCAGAGCCTCTAATTCCTCTCTCATAGCATTCCTCCACTCCTCCTTCAATAATGCCTCTGAAAGTGTGTTTGGTGTGGAGATTGTGTTTAGGCTAGCCATAAACCTCTGGTGGGAAGATGATAGGCATTTAGGTGAGACATAATGGGAAAGAGGGTAAAGTGGCCTCTTGGAGCATTCTCGGGATTTTTTCTTGATGGCAATGGGCAAATGAGAGTCATTGGCTGAAGCTTCAACTGTCTCAGTGCCTAGGAGTGAACCTGTACTCACCATGCCTTTATTCTCAGGACTCGGGTTGATCTCTTGGACTTGTGTCAGGTTTGGGGCTTTTGCCCTTCTCGTATACACCTGAGAAAATCTTGGATGAACCTCAGTAACTTGACTGGACACAGGCTCTTGGGGTTGACAAGTAGGATCGGTTTCTGTGTTGGAAGACTCGGCAGTTTCTGTGTTGGAAGACTCGGGCTCTTGGGAAGGACTTGATGGAATGACCAGAGTGATGGCTAAAGGGGAATGAGAGGTAGATGGAAGATCAAGTGGCTCAAAAAACTCAAACGACTTAGACCAAGTACCATCTTCACGGTTAGTTGTCTCCCCCTGAAGATGGGACAAA